AAGTGGTAGAGCGCTCGCCTTGAGTTGAAGAGCTGAAGGACAGCGCCCAGGCCCAGAGTTCAAGCCCCACGACCAACAAAAAAAAAAAAAAAAAAGACTCCTATCTCCCATGAAACAGAAGGAAGCCAGAAATGAAATCATGGCTCAGGTGGTAGAGCACCAGCCATGAGTAAGAACAAAAAGCTCTGAGTTCAAGCACCAGTGAAGGGGTAGGGAACTTGAAAGCCTTGAAGTTTTGGGGTTTTTTTGTTTTGTTTCGTTTTTTTGTCAGTCATGGGGCCTGAACTCTGGGCCTGGGCGCTGTCCCTCAGCCCTTCAGCTCAAGGCTAGCACCCTACCACTGGAGTCACAGCGCCACTTTTGGCTTTTTCTGCTATGTGGTGCTGAGGAATCGAACCCAGGGCCTGCCTCATGCATGCAAGGCAAGCGCTCTACCACTGAGCCACCTTCCCAGTCCAAAACCTTGAAGTTTGTCCAGAAAAGAAGAATATATAACGCTGGGACTGAGTGGAAAAGATTACATCCATTAAAAGGATGCCAAGTACTTTGCACCAGAACATCAGGAAATATGCCTAGGGGACACCTTGAGAATCACAGAAACCTCTTAGGCATCTACCCAGAGCATTATAAGTCAGGATATGGTAAAGACTTTGGCACATCCATGTTCGTTGCTGCACTATCACCATAGCCAAGTTATGGAAACAGATGACCTACAATAGAGAAGTGAATCCCAAAAATGTAGTTCTTATATACAATGGAATTATACTCCTCCATTAGCAAGAATAATATTATGTCATTTGCAGGAAAATGGATGAACCTAGAACAAAACACATTAAGTAAGCCAGACCCGGAGCAACAAGCAGTGCATGTTTTCTCTCACATATGGAAGCTAGATCTAAAATGCAACCAGGCATAATATCATATACAGGGCTCCATGCATTTATACACAAACTGATTTTTTTGGGGGTGCGGTTGTGGGGCCTGAACTCTGGCCCTGGGTGCTGTCCCTCAGCTCTTCAGCTCAAGGCTAGCACTCTACCACTTGAACCACAGCACCACTTCAGGTTTTTTTTTCCTGTTTATGTGGTGCTGAGGAATCAAACCCAGGGCCTCATGCATGCAAGGCAAGTGCTCCACCACTGAGCCACCTTCCCAGCCCCACAAACTTATTTTAAAAGGTTATACATAGGGATGGAACACAAAGGTGAAACTCCTCTGAACAACTAAAGTACTATTTATCAAGATGAACACCACGACGGAACAAACACCAAATGGAAACATTTGCGGGGGGACAGACAGAGAGGGGCACAAATGCAATCATTGTAATATATATATATAATGTAATGTAAAACATGAACTAGGTGACTTATGGGTAGGGACAGGAGGGGAAAATGGGAAAAACCAAAAGAAGGGGTAACATTGTCCAAGCAGCATTGTACTCACGTAATCTGACTTAGGAAATTGTAACCCCTTTGTCCAACTCCTTAATAATAACAATGAGAAAAAAGAAAGAAAGAAAGAGAAACAAACAAACAAAGAAAGAAAGAAAAAAGAAAGAAAGAAAGAGGAAACCCCACCATGGCACGTGGTAGCTCATTTGAATGATTGTCCCTTAAGAAGAGGAACAGGCCTGGGTGCCAGTGGCTCAAGTCAGTAATCCGAGCTACTCAGGAGGCTGAGATCTGAAGATCGCGGTTCAAAGCCAGCCCAAGCAGGAAAGCCCGTGAGACTCTCATCTCCAATTAATTACCAGAAAACCAGAAGTGGCGCTGTGGCTCAAGTGCTAGCCTTGAGCTGTGAGCCTTGAGTGCCCAGACCCAGAGTTCAAGCCCCACAACTGACAGGAGGAGGAAGAGGCTCACAAGACTACCAGGGGATGTTGCCCCGGGATTCATTCCACTGTGCTCAGCTGCTCAGGCACTTAGAGACCAATGAAACTGCAGTGCCAGGGACCTGGCTGGCTCAAGCCAGTAGCAACAGACCTGGGGATCCTCCACATGGTGCTAGTTTTGCAAGCAGGAAGAAGGCAAATGTTATGGGGTCATGGAGCTTCCACTCACATTTCAGATCAAAGCCAAGGAAGCCAGGCAGTGAGTGACAGGATCAGAGACCCTACAAGCAACCCCTAAGAGGGCAATGAGTGAGGCTGAGAGTAAAGCTGAAGATGCAATGGAGACTGCAGGATACTAGAGATGCCGGAAACATGGACACCTGCCAAGGAAGAGCACAGGCACTGAACAGAGCCAGCCAGGAGTATAGAATAAGAGGGAGGTGGGAGTCTGCTCAGTGAGGCATGCTTTTTCTGTCTCTGCTCCCTGGCCACCGTGAGGTGAGCAACTTTGCTCCGGCACCTACGCTTGCCACAGGGCGTCCCGCCCCATCACAGATCCATGAGAATGGAGCGGCTGCCATGGGCAGATGCCACTGAAACCACCAGCCAAATCGGTCTGTTTCTTGGTGGGGAGACTGAGATCCACAGCTTTATCGAATCCAGGGTTTGAAACCTGGGTTCCTAACTGGGCATAAAGAAGGGTGGGAGTGGGGACCACAATCATCTTTCCTCCTTTTAAGTTGTTCTGTCATGGACTTATCACAAGATGAAGAGCTCACACACCAGGTGAGCACTTAGGAGGCTTCTGGAGTGCATACTTGGTGACGCACGTTTTCAAATCTTAAAGTGGCAGCATAGTCCCTCCCAAGGCATACATTGGCTCTCCAGCAGTTTCTATGCCCATCCAGCTAGGGTCTTTCTTCTCTGGAGGTCAAAGGGTGCTAGGGACAGGACTTCTCTGAGCAGCCTATCCACATCATGAGCATATCCAGTTTCCACTTGCCTAGTCCACTGATCTACCAAAACGGCTACACCAGGAAAGAAGGAAAGAATTCCATGAGGGCTGAGCAAAGAGCAGAGCACTGCTCGGGCATCCACAGCACACGTCTTCATTGCCTCCACTCCACGCTTTGTGTCTGGCCTCTCCTCACACACTCTGCCTTTTCCTAATGATTTTTGTGCATACTCAAGTACTTACTGGCAATATCCTAATTTAGGATCACAGTCCCTGGATTCTTTCCTGGTTCCTCAACTCTATAATAAGCTTCCAGACTCCTGCCTCATGGTCTGCACAGCCCTGAACAGGGCTGACAAGGATATAGGAAAGACAGCTGCCAGAGAGAAGTCTTATTATAGTAATCCTGAGGGGTTTCCATCAGTATTAAACTAGCAGGACTACTCAACAGGAAACCTGACTAGAGTTGGAAAATAGCTAAAACATTCCCACATTTTTAACTAAGGTTAAAATACCAGGGCAAGTATACCCTATGGATTTGAAGTTACTTTATCATCGTCATTTCATGCTCTGATACTGGCCTTTGCCGGAATCGCTTTTGGTCTCTTGCTGTACTGGAGCTTGAACTCAGGCACATACTTATTAGGTGACACTTTACCATTTTGAGCCACATCCCAGTCCTTTTGCTTCCATTGTTTTTGAATAGGATTTCACATTTGGCCCAGGACAAACCTGGACCTTGAACTATTTATTTATGCTTCCTCTACAGCTGGGACTATAGATGTCAACCACGGCACCTAGATTTTTATTGATTGGGATGAGGTTTTGTGAACTTTCTGCCTGGGATGGCCTCTGAACCAGAATCGTTTTCATCTCAGCCTCCTTAGTAGTTAGGACTACAAGTAACATAAGCCACCATGCCTGGTTGGTTTTCTTTTTTAAATAGGGCCCTTCTATGTAGCTCTCTATGGAGCCCAGGCTGATTTCCACCTCAAAGTTTTCTGCCTCAGTCTCCTGATCCTGAGATTATAGACATGCACCTTCCCTATCCTGGAATAACATTATCCTCAAGTATTATATCTACAGTTCTGAAAGACATTTACTTTCCTTTTTAAAGAAAAAGAAAGATAAAACCAGACTCCAGTGGCTCACACTTGTTACCCTAGCAATGTAGGCTGAGACCTGAGGACTGCAGTTCAGAGCTAGCCAGAAAAGCCGGGCACCAGTGGCTCATGCCTACAATCCTTGCTACTCAAGAGGCTAAGATCTGAGGATCATGGTTCAAAGCCAGCCTGAGCAGGAGAGTCCAAGAGACTCTTAAATCCAATTAACCAGCAGAAAACCAGAAGTGGAGTGTAGCTCAAAGCCAGCCTGGGCAGGAAGGTCTGTGAGACTCTTATCTCCAATTAACTACTAAAAAAGCTTCTGATCACTGAATTAACTTAGGGGGAAAAAGAATTCAACCTTAATAAATATGTCAGCAAAGGACATAATCAGTTGGTTGCATTTTCACGTTTATCAAATTCCTGCCTGCCTTTTGGTCATCTTCATTCAGACCATGAAATGGACAATCTGAAATTAGATTACCATTCTAGTTTGTTTTCATCTGGCAAAACTACAATTTCAACTTTATGTAGTACTCAGCCTAACTCACATTTAAGAATAAAACTCCCTCCAGTAATAGCGAGACTGATTGGAATACAGCATAAACACATGTGGAAATATAACAATAACTAACAAAGAAATGTTTTTTTAGAAATTCTCTCCAACTTTGTTCTGCTTGCTCAATATTAAAATATATATAGCCAGGCCAGTGATTCACATGCTTGTTGTAATCCTCACTACTCAGGAAGCTGAAAGCTAGAGGATAATAGTTCAAAACTAGCCTGAGCGGAAAAAGTCTATGAATTGTATCTCAAATTAACCAGAAAAGGACAGGGTGGAGGTGTGGCTCAAGTGGTAAAACACCAGCCATGAGCGAGTACAAGGCTTCAAAGTTCAAACATCCAGTAAGTGTACAACATCTACCTGTTTAGGAATACCTTTATTGCAGCTGCACACATGGAGAATTCCTTCACATAAGGAGGTGATATGAAACACAAGGGACCAGGACAGCAGTGTGAGCTTGGACAGGCAGGTTTACCTTGTGTCTGATGACAGTGCTTGTTGACACACCGGTGTGGGGAGCACAAGAGACACGGCTGCGTACCCCTTGCCAGCGCACAGGACAGGGCCAACATCTACTAGCTGTTATTATTAGTGCTATTACTGTTTTTGTCATTGAAAGAAACACATAAGCACAAAACTTTCAGGTGGCAGAAAAGATCTAGTGTCATAAAAGAAATAATTTATCCGAAACATAAAAATATTTTAAAGAAATATTATACTCTCTGAAAAATAAAATATAACTGGCTATTTTTGAATATTAGTAAACAGTCCAAATTGATTATAAACTTTTAGTTTAATAGCTATATCATCAATTATTAGTCATTATGTTCACAGTATTTTCCCCAGATTCTTATGAGCCTTTCTGGTTTTATTTTTTGTTTTTTTTGGTGCCAGTCCTGAGACTTGAACTTAGGGTCTGGGCACTGTCTCTGGGCTTTTTTGCTCGAAGCTATCACTCTACTTCTTGAGCTACAGCGCCACTTCTAGGCTTTTTGGTGGTTAATTGGAGATAAGAATCTCACAGGCCTTCTTACCCAGGTTGACTTAGAACCAAGATCCTCAGATCTCAGCCTACAGGTGTGAGTCACCAGCACCAGGCTTAAGCTTTCTGTTTTGGAGTAAGTGTAGATATAAAAATTAAAAGGCAGCCGGAACTGGGCACTGGTGGCCCACATCTATAATACTAAGTAGTCAGATCTCAGATCTGAGAATCATGACTCAAAGTCAACCCAAGCAAATAAATCAGAGTGTATCTCCAATCAACCACCAAAAAGCCAGAAGTTGAGGAATGGCTCACATGGTAGACTGCCAGCCATGAACAAAAAAGCCAACTGAGAACTTGAGATCCTGAATTCAGGTGTCAGTACTAGTACAAAAGGAACCGAAATAAATAAAAGGCACCAAGCTAATGTTCTGTATGTTAAATGGTTATAAAATCCAAAGGTTTGCCTATCTTCAGCCCACTCAGAAAACACATAAAATCACAATCTCTTGAGGACTGAGAACATTTAAGACCCACTCCTCATCATGAGCAAAGAGCATCAGGCCAACACAACTTTCAGGACAGAGTTGAGCCTGTAGGTCGTCTGCTGGAGCTCATCCCAGGAGCCCTACCTTCCTCTCCTTCCCGCTGTCGGCCTGCACAGTTTCCAGGCGGGCTTTGAAGTGTTCGAAGTCCAACTTCAGCTGCTCTAATTCTTGTTCTTTCCTTTCAAGGTCTAGAAGAGACATAGAAATACTCAAGACACACTAAATCATTAATCCTTTGAAAGCATCTATTTGTCTCATCTTCCCTGAGTAAAGCTAGTACTGAGAACATTCTCATTTCTGATTTCCAAAAGCCTTGCATAACTAACATTCCTAAAGTCTTGTGTTTAAGTTATCAGTTTCTAGCCCATAGCAGAAAGGATATTCTTTGTTTTTGAAGGGGGTTTTGTCAGCATGGCTAGTGATCAAAACCAGGGCCCTTTGTATACTAAGCATGCATGCTACCACAGAGATACACCCCTAGCCTTGGAAAACTTCTGTTGTTTCATATTATGATTTAAGGCCTCATTTCACTGCCAGACATGTACTTAAGGCTTCAGGAAAATGTGTTATTTAAAGGACATAAGACAGAACTGAGAAGACTGTCTCATGGCACCGACTTGTATCTGGCTCCATAAGAAGCAGAAGGCAGCTCAGTGAGTGGTGCCAACATGGGCTGATTCACACAGTGAGTCTCACCAACTGGCAGATTAATTCAATGGGAACAACTGCAGTAGTAGTGGATGGAGGCGGGAGGCACCAGAGATCAGAACAAGAAAATGCTAGCGAGGGGTAGAACCACGTAATACTTCCTCTTCTCCACATTCATCTGGTTGATGAGTCAAATGGCCAACAAAATTCCTAACGACACCCACACCAATGAACCAACCAAAAGCATTATCAACTTTTAAATATTCTGTGGCAGAGCTACCGATGCCCAGAAAAATCAAACACATAATTCAAATTTTCAAGTCCTGAGAAATTATCTTTTTATTATGCCAGTATATACCAAGATTTGAGAATGAGTGCTAAGAGCTGACAGTGTAAGTTCTCTGACTAAAACAGCAGTACTTCAGTGACTGTAAACATTAGTGTACATCACAATCATGCGTGAAGTTTTGTCCCAGTGGATCTGGAGTAGATCTGACATTTTGTTGTTATTATTTTGGGGTCTTCTTAGTGCCCATCCTAAGGGTTGAATTCAGGGTCTGGGAGCTGTCCCTGAGCTTTCTTGCTCAAGGCTAACACTCTACCGCTTGAGTCACAGCTCCACTAAACTGGCATTTTAGTGGTTAACAAGAGATGAGTCTCACAGACTTTCCTGCCTGGAAAAGATCCCAGCCTCCTGAGTGGCTAGGATTATAGGCATGAGCCACTGGTGCCAGGCCCAAGAACTTCATTGCTAACAGGCTCCCAGGAGAGGCCACTACTGCTTGTTTAGAAAGCATACTTAGAGAATTACTTCAGCACAAAAGCCTTGTCCTTGTCCTTGTCATAAGCAAAATGTAATGGACACACAACACATAAGTAGTACCAGTGAGCAAGGGAAAAAGAGCAAAAGCTAGAGGACAGGAAGATAGTTTCTAGGAGAGGCAACGAAAACCAAGGTTACCTCATCTTGAGGAGAAAAGGTTTACTGACACACATTCAGTGGAGAAGGGGCAGGGCTGTGTAATGTGGGGAAGGGGTCTGAAAAGCAAGAGGCCGCCCAAACACAGATGACATGGCATCCCAAGAGCTCTGGAGGAAAAACCAAAGGGAGCTTCCAACCTTCATAAAGACCCTGTCCAAGAATGAAGCTTAACTTGGGGTTGGAGACAGGAGAGAAAAACGGGGAGAGAGAAAGGGAAGGGGTGACACTGTCCAAAAATACATGTACTCATTACTTGACTTCCATTACTCTAACCCCTCTGTACATCATCTTTATAATAACAATAAAAAATATTTTTTTAGTCAGTCATGGGGCTTGAACTGGGCCTGGGTGCTGTCCCTGAGCTCTTCAGCTTAAGGCTAGCGCTCTACCACTTAAGCCACAGCACCACTTCCAGTTTTCTGGTGGTTTATTGGAGATAAGAGTCTCCTGGACTTTCCTGATCAGGCTGGCCTTGAACTGCAATACTCAGATCTCAGCCTCCTGAGGATTACAGATGTGAGCCGACACCCATCTAAGCACTATTTAAAAAAAAAAAAAAGAACAAAGGTTAGAATCTAAGGGTCAATATTCAGACTGGACAGATTACGAAACCAGTTGGCAAAGCTCCTCTTAAAATGTGTGGACTATTGCTTTCTTCTCCCTTAGTTTTCTTTTCAGCTCTCTTATTATACAATGCACTACAACATAACTTTTACTGGAATTATATATAACCATATATGAAACATGTTTCACAAAGAGAAACAAAATAAGGAACTAATAAAATTTAAATAAAGTGATTAAAATTTTTCTTTGAAGTCTTAAAGTTTCCATGTTATTAAATTACATGTTAAATGTGGTATTTAAATTATATGTTAAATATGGTATTTTTAATTTTATTTTATTGTAAATATGGTGTTTTAAAAAGAGAAAAAAGCCAGCAGCTCATACCTGTAATCCTACCTATTCAGGAGCCTGATAGCTGAGGATTGTGTTTCAAAACAAAACCAGGCAGGAAAGTCCATGAGACTTATCTCTAAATAACCACCAAAAAGCCAGGAGTGAAGCTATGCCCCAAGTGGTAGAGCACTAGCCTTGAGTGAAAAATCTAAGGAACAGTGTCCAGGGCTTGAGTTCAAACTCCACAGAGAAAAACCAAAAAAAAAACGGCCTACTAGCTAGGCATCTGTGGCTCACATCTGTAATCCTTTATGAGATGTAGAGGATTATGGTTCAAAGCCAGCCCAGAAAGAAAGTCTGTAAAATGACAACTTAAAAAAAAAGGGGGGTGGGAGGGTAGAGATGAGGCTTAAATAGTAATGTGGCATACCAGAAGAGTATGCCAGCTGAACAAAAATGAAGCACTGAATTCAAACCCTCAACTGAAGGGCAGACAAAACAAAACAAAACCCTTCCACTCTATTCTATTCAATTTCAAAAAATTCCCCGATCAGTGATGGTATGGGTGAATACCCATCCCCACAGGACAGTGCCTTTCTGCTGTGTGAGGCCACCCCCTTGTGGCTAAAGGAGAGAATTGCTGCCACCTCCCAACCACTGTCTCATTTTTTGTTTTGGTTTGGTTTTGGTTTAAATGTAATCATGTTTGGCAGTATTGGGTTTGAACTCGGGGCCTTATGCTTGCTAAGGAGGAGTCCTGCCACCTGAGCTGCTCCAGCAGTCCTTTCTGAGATAGGTTCTGGCCAGCCTGAACTTGTGGTCCTATTTATGCTTCCCTTTCTTACTTGGGATTGTGCATCCTCAGAAATTGGGATGACAAGTATACATCCGGCCTCAATAAATGAACCTAATCTCTGCCTGGGATTAAAGCCTAGCTTGCAATTTTTTTAGACACCCAGGGGCACAATATGGATAGTGAGTGAATGATAAATTACATAGTTAAGGTATTCGCTTACTCAGACTTGATATTAAAATAGGGAAGGAGCTACCACCTAATCTAGATTCTTTCATTTGTTCTTAGCATTCAAAATGAAGGCAAAACTATGTAAAGTGGATGAGAGGTAGAGCAAGGCTTTACAGGCCTGATGCACAGAAACCACCCAAATGAAGATATCACTGATACCCCTTCCTTTGATATGCTTTTTTGTTTTGCTTTTTGTTTGAGGTCAATTTGTTGTTGCTGTTGTTGGTTGGTTGGTTGGCTGGTTGGTTTGGTTTTGATTTCTTGGCAGTACCAGAGTTCAAACTTTGGCTTCATGCTTGCTAGATAGGCACTCTACTACTCAGGCCACACCTTCACTGTTTGCTTTAGTCATTTTTCAAAGAGAGTATCATGTTTTTCTGGCCTGGGTTTTGGCTTTTGACTTTGGGAAGGGTAGGGAGTTGGGCTGGCCTAGATAGCAATCCTCCTATTTATGCTGCCCTGCAGCTGGGGACAAGCACACATCACCATGTCCAGGTTTTTCGGTTGAGTTGTATCTTGCCAACTTTTAACCCATGCTACCTGGAATCACAGTCTTCCCAGTCTGTGCCTCGTAAATAGCTAGAATTATATTACAGACATGAGCCATAGTATCTGGCAACTCTTATGTTTTTATCACTAAGTTCAGAAAATAATCTAGCTGGGCACTGGTGGCTCACACCTGTAATCCTAGCTACTCAGGAGGCTGAGATCTGAGGATCACAGTTCAAAGCCAGCCTAGGCAAGAAAGTCCATAAGACTCTTTTTTGCAGGGGGGGAGGGGGAGATCCAGTCGTGGGGCTTGAACTCTGGGCCTGGGCGCTGTCCATCAGCTCTTCAGCTCAAGGCTAGCGCTCTACCACTTGAGCCACAGCGCCACTTCCAGCTTTTTTCTTTTTGCTTATGTGGTGCTGAGG